AGGCTCTTTTCTCTGCTTCTGTGTCGGCCATGATTCTTGATTGATTCTTTCAAGTAGGAAAATTACAAGGAGATTCATTTCATTCTCATCCCCTGTTTTGCTGTCTCTTTCTCTGCTTTCTTTTCTGGGTTTTCTTGTTTCTCAATCTCTGTAATCGTTTTGGTGAATTTGATTGTTTCTGGAGGAAAATCTGGAACGGGGTTGATTGCAGAAAGTTGGCTTTAGTGAGTTTTTGTATTTTTCTTGGTAAAGGAGGGTGGAAGAGAAGAGAGGGATTCCTTGTTTTATTTTTTCTGGTTCTGTGTCTTTGTGGATCTCGAGTTTTTGGAAGCAAAAGTGAGGAGGGTGACTGGAGACATGGTGAATTAAGACCCCTTTTTTCTCTGGAAAATCTTGTAATCGTTCTATGATTCTAAGAGAAAACAGAGGAGAGCAGGTTTTTGGTAAAATTTTGAAGCCGTTTTGATGCTGAAGCTGTGAGACAGAAACGGCATAGCTGTTTAAGGCTTTGTGATTTATCAAAATTAGGGTTCTTCGATATTTCTGGATAGTGGGTGAGGAAGGTGAAGCTTTGAATTGGGTGGAATGAAGCTTTTCCGAATCTAAATCACGTTTTTTTCAGTTTGTCAGCAATGTTGAGAATCCCTGGAATTACAGGTTTCGTTTCTGGATTCTCTTTCATTGGCTTCTTCTTTGATCTTCACTGAATTTTCAGTAGAATTGGCTGCGGAGATTGTTATTTTTCCTGTGTTTCTTTGATAATTGATGCCTTTTAAGGTAACGAATTTTGTTTCCCCTCACTTTATTTATGATTTTCATTTTTTTCTTCCCAGTTCCGTTAAGAATATCATGTGACATTTCGCTGAATTTTTCTTTCATATTTTTTTTACAGCATTTAGTGTTGGAATCATTGTTTGGTTGAGATGATTACGTTTATGGATTCAAAGGAAAACCTGAAAGAGGTGGAGAAGTGCTTGGATTCTCAGCTGTGGCATGCTGAAGCTCCTCCTTCTCCTCGCAGTGCGAGTTCCCGGACTAAGGACTCGGACCGTGATAACAAGGATCCAGAAATGAAAGATACCCCCAAGAAAAGGTAGGCATATATCTAATATCCAACACATGCCTAAAATCTCTCTGCTAAATTTGAAGAGCTAGCTCAATGTTTGATATGAGGGAATTTTTTTATGTTGCAGGAGGACTTCGGCCACTCCAAGATGGAAACAACTAGTGCCAGTAACCCCTGGTACCCCGCAGGAGGTACTTCTTGATGATGGCTTCACTTGGAGGAAATATGGACAGAAAGACATTTTCGGCGAAAAATATCCAAGGTAGAGTTGAATTTGAAAAGTCTTACTCCTAATCTATGTCAAAGAGCGAAAAAACAACTGACAACTTGTTTGGTAGAATCCACAAAATAGGTTCTAATAGCAAGTTTGATTTGACTTTGACGTCGTTGCAGGAGCTACTACAGGTGTGCCCATAGACACACACAAGGTTGCTCCGCTACAAAGCAAGTGCAAAGATCCGATGGAGATCCATCGATTTTTGAGATTGCTTACCGTGGAAGTCATACCTGTACTCAAGCAGTCTCCTCTTCTCAAATCCCTCCCTCGTTGTCCCAGGAAAACCAAAACCAAGATATTAATTTAATAAACCAGCAGCAGCCACAGAATAATTTACCAATGAACCTTCAAAAAGAGCTTAGAGTTCCAACAGAAGACTTGGACGTTATCCCACAGCAGAGGAATCTAATTTATGAGCTGACACAAGGAAGAGAGTTTGCGAAGCAGCTTCGGTTGCATCTCATTGCGCCATCTTCCTCCCAGGAAACTCTGGAATCGCTGGTCCAGAGGATCCAAGCTTCCTATGAAAAGGCACTTTCAATCCTCAAACGGAACACCTCGGTGGCGATGGAGGTGCAGACATGTTATCTTTTTGGTGCAAGTATATTTAGTTCATCATTATCTTTATTGTTAACCGTAAGCATGTTCTGATTTCATAAAAATAAGGAGAAACTAAATATTATTTGCTAACATTATATGTATGCAGCAGCCTGAAAGTGACAAACCTGAAGAACTTGGCATGCGAGCAGACATAGAAACAGAGGATGAATTGCTATTTAGTGTTGAAAGATATTCCAATATGAGTTCGAGGCAAGGTGGAAAAGTGCTGACTGAGATACCAGAAGGAGACGAATGGATTGCTCCAAATATCTGTGCAACTGTTTGTAAACCTGTTCTCCCAGAATCTCCAAACTGCCCATTTCTGGTTGCTCTGTCCTTGGAAGGAAGCAAAGCTCTTATGGCTATCCCTTTGTCGTTCTTTGAGCACATGCCTGTCCTTACATGCTTGAATTTGTCTCATACTAGTATCAGATCTTTGCCTGTGTCTCTTTTCAAGTTGGTTTCACTTAAAGAACTCAGTCTAAGGCACTGCAAACTCTTCATGGAATTGTCACCACAAGTTGGACAACTTTATAATCTTGTTTTGCTAGATCTTGATGAGACTCAGATTGCGGAATTGCCGAAGGAGATTGGAAAACTTTCTAATCTAGAAATTTTGAGATTGTCCCTTGATGGATACATGAATTGTGGAAAGCAGTTGCAGGAAAATGTGTTAATTCATCCTGGGACCGTTACAAGGCTTTTGCAGTTGGTGGAATTAAAAATTGATGTGAATCCGGAGAATGAGGACTGGAATGTAGTTGAGGAAGTTGTTGTAGGGGAAATCTGTAGCCTGGAAAGATTGCAGCGTCTTATATTATACCTGCCAAATGTTCAGATTTTGGGAAAACGCACAACAGGTAGCACATCACTCAGTTATTATCCCTTGTGCCGGTTCAATTATACTATTGGGCAGCATAGACAGCGTATTGTCTGTTGAGTACCAGAAAAAGTTGAAGTTTGCTTTCAAGAGTGGGACAAATGCTTGAAATTTGTTAAGGGCAATGATATCTCAAGTGAGATGAAAAGGGTAGTTGGATACACGAAGGCATTCTACCTTGAACGTCATGCCACTGCTAGAAGCTTGTGTGATTTTGGGATCAAAAATATGAGGAACCTAAAGTTCTGCTTATTGGCAGAATGTAATGAAATCCAAACCATCATAGATGAAGGAAAGTCTTATGAAGAAGAAAAAATTGATACAGTTGAAGATGTGGAGATCAATTGTGGGTCCGGAGTTAAGGCATATTCTGCTCAAGAACCCGTAGTTTTGAATCTACAGTACTTGCATATCTATTACCTGAAGAATTTAGTGAGCATTTGGAGAAGCCTCACCTATGATAAGCAGTGTCTATCTGGCTTGAAGGTCCTAGAACTCCATGTGTGCCCCAAATTGAGTGTCATTTTCTCACCTGCTTTGCTCACTAATCTTGGCAAGTTGGAGGTGCTTGTAGTTGAAGACTGCCCTGAATTGACCAGTGTTGTAAGCCCAACAAGCAATGCATCCTTTGAGTTTTCATTAGATTGTTTTCTGCCTAGCTTGAAGATGATGCTACTTCTTTTCCTTCCGAAATTGGAAAGCATATCTAGTGACTTTCACATTGCACCAAAACTAGAAAAGATAGGATTTTATGATTGCCCAGAGCTTAAGAGTCTTTCTAAAAGGGAAATGTTAAGTGAAAATTTGAAAGTGATCAAAGGAGAAAGGGAGTGGTGGGAAGCATTGGAATGGGAGGAGTCAGAGTGGAAAAGTCAGCCCGATTATCTCCATAGCATTTTCTCCCCAGTTGATGAAGACGACGATGTGATGACACAAATGCAAGAGATGTGTGACTTTGGGTCCATTACTAATCAGGGGATAGTAAAGCAAGAGGTAAAGCAAGATGTAAAGCAAGAGATAAAGCAAGAGGTAAAGCGAGAGGTAAAACGAGAGGTAAAACAAGAGGTAAAGCAAGAGGTAAAGTCCACCTGCTTCCCCTAGATAATTTTGCCGGGTTGGTTAGAAACTCAACCGACGGCCTCGCCCCCCCGTCCCTACCCTGTAAAGCAATTAAAGAAGATACAGAACCAGGATGTCCATGATCTTGGTTGCTCAGAAATCAGATGAAGTCATAGAGGTAGTGCTGAATTTAAGACTCCGAGTTTCTCTTATGGTTTGTTTTATAAAATGTAGTTTGAAATTTGTAATTGTGTGTTATGTGATCTAGACCAACTACTGAATATTGAGGACATATTTTTAAGTAAATTCTGATGTCACGAGTATTTGCAAGGTTGGCTTGAATAGCTGTGTACATATTGTTTCTTTCCTCCTAATAGCCACATGCACTTCATTCTCCACATTTTGAAAGATTTTATGTCTAATGCTGGTTTCATTTTGGTTATCATAAATTTCAAAGTTTATTGATTTTGCTTGCTATCAATTTTGCCAGCTCGGTGTTGACATCAACAAGGTAAAATGGTGATGTTTTCTGGATTCTATTTATGCATTCCTTCTAACCGAGTAGCAGAGGAGGGCTTAGGGAGTAAACCTATGTTTGAAGCGATTTTGTTATTAATGTCTTGCGGTTGAACGCCGAATTTTAAGCAAATTAAGGTTACTTTTATCATACCTGCCGAATTTTAAGATTAAAAAGAGCGAAAACTGCTATAGTATCACTATCATCAATTGTGGCGTAATTCTTGAAGTTTATTGAGACGGATGTTTCCGCTGGAATGAAAGGTGTGCTTTCAAGAACACATGGGCTAGAAATGCATTCATGGGCTGGACTTTCTGCACACACAAGCCCATCAAGCAATAAAACAAGAATGGCCATTCCATACCCTGGTAATCTTCTGTTCAATTCAAGGCATTTTTATTTAGTGTTTTCATGTATCAGTAGATTTATATCTCGGCTCAATTTGCAAAATAACTTCGGTTTTTTAAATAGTTCAATGTCTGTTGCTAGTGTACTCTATTTTTTATATCCTAAATGAAATGATTATGAGGAATTAAACTAGAAATGAAATATTCTAATGATTTTGTCCTCCTTGAAGTTTCACATAAGCTGAATTAATAGAAATTGATTCAGAATATTGTGCACTTTTTGGACTATGATTGCTCTATATGTTGATTAGTGTCAGGTCTTGGACCAAACCGTAAACCTAGGAACTGGATGCAGAACCATGACATTGGTGCTGTTGGTTGCTCAGATCTCAGATGAAGTCACGGAGGCGGTGCTGAATTTAAGTCTCTGAATTTGGCTGATAGTTTGTTTTCTGTAAAGCAGTGTCTAACCGTGGAAATCGTATGCCTTTGAAATTTATGTGATCTAAGCCTTCTACTTGATATTGAGGGTATATCTTTAAGAGAGGAGTATCTTAATGTAAACTCTA